ACAGGGCAAAACATAAGTCCCCGTTTTCGAACTACGTCCGAACGGGGACTAATAATGTGTTCTATGCTAAATTTTACATATTCACTGGGTTTTAATTTAGCGCATTTTCCAGTCAGCGAAATAAGCAAAATTAAAACCTAGTGAATAATTAACCCCTTTACAGTATCACATTGGTGTATAAATTAATTTCTTACCACTGGTTTTTAATCCTGATATAACAGTGCTAGACGACACTGATGGATTTGGTAGTTGGGTTCTGGAGCCGAACGTTGTGGTGGTTGATTTTGGTGGAACAAACGAAAACGAGACTGCTGATGTACCGCTAGATGTTGTAGTAGTTGACGATACAATAGTAGGTGCAGTTCCAGTGGTTGTAGACGTGATTGGTGCTGCTGCAGATGAAGGAATCTGCAGAAATTGAAAAGCATGCTTATTGGCTGTTACCGGTAGTCTTTCTACATGAACCAATCACAGGCCAGAGTGAAAGTACTGAGTTTTGAAATGCGGCAGTGTAATACTCACAATACTAGTAATACTCACAATTTGAGCACTTGTAGCTGAAACTCGTTTTTTTCCAGATGTAGCAGCGATTTCTGCCAGTACTTCAGTCACGACTTTAACTGTTCCTTCGTTAACCTTTGTGCTGTCAAGAAACAGAGAATTAGTAATTAGTGAACGTCACACATTCTCATTCTCTGTATATGCTGATGTATTAGTATGGCAGTGAGAAAAAGAAGCCCAAATCGAGAAGAAGAAAGACACAAACATATCATAAACATGAAATATGGTTTCTGAACCATCAACAAAAAATGTTTGTTTTTGTTTATTTGTGTATTATGTGTTTATTTCTTATTTATTTTTTTTTAAATCGAGAAAGACAATTCATTTGTCATTTCTGCTACTACTAAACCAGAGTCAGATGAAGAGATGCATTGTAAGGGTGTACAACTTTGGTCACATGTACTGAACATCTGTTTGTGCTCGAGACTGACACAAAGATTAACACAAATGTGAGGAGTTTGTTTCATGTTGTCAGATAGTATAAAACAAACAATTCTGTTCTGACAGAACAACATATGTAAGAAAACTGGATCTAACTGGATTCCATATATCAAACTGGATCTAACTGGATGCCATATGTAAAACAATTGGCTCCAACTGGATCTCATATGTGAAAGACTAGCTGCTTCTAACTTTATCTCATATGTAAGAGAACTGGTTCTTACTGGACCCCACATCTAAAACAACTGGTTCTAACTAACACGTATGTAAAACAACCTACATGTACCGGTATAACTGGATGCCACATTCGAGCAAATCATATGTAACGGAACTGGTTCTGACTGGATCTTTATATGTAAACATAAAATAAGCAGCTATTCTTACCTATCAACTACAGCTATTGTGGTATTGGCAGATGTTTTTTTGGTGTCAATGTTTTTTATGTTGACCACTGGCGGAGGGACAGTTTTCGGTACTGACTGCTCATTTATCTGAACTGGACCACTTGCTGAGCGGTTCAAGGCAGCCAACCCAGCTGGAGAAATTCCCGGTTTAATAGATTTATTAATATCAGGTGATGCACCCCATGAAACGGTACCCCCTCCAGAGTGAGTGAATCCTGCAATTGGGACTGTGCTTGCAGGCTCGACGGGTAGAGGGGGTTTTGGCACAGTTTTTACCAGAGGCGTTGACATCGCCGAAATGCCACTGGCTGCTAATGACATCTGTGGTGGTTGGAAAGCAGTGAAATTTGTCCCAGTCATGGAGACTGGTGCAGCTGGTCTTGTGGTAACTGTCGTCTTAGGAACACTGAATGCTGGTTTCATAGGCTGTGTTATTGGCTGAGTTTTCACAGTGTCAGCTGGGATCACTACAGCTGGCAAACGCTGTGAAACGATTACAGGTTTGGTTTCTTTGCCTCTCGGTTCATCAATCCTAATGGGCGTTGATGTATTATCAGGGACCGGATAAGCGAATGAACTGAATCCTATGTTTCGCTGATTATGTTCGCTGTCGTCTTCGCTTATCTCGTCTGTACTGGCAGCTTCAGATGGAGTGCTGGGTGTTCTCAAGTAGTGGGGTGATATGATACTGAAATGTCCTGAATATACAGCAAAATACATCAATTAGAGGGGTTGTAGATTTTCATTTCAACAAGATATTTTTTCTAACAGCCAAAATAGCCTCTAATATTTATTTGACTGTATTAGCATAGAAATTGAGCTCAAGTCATCCCCATTGAGTGCAGAATTTTGCTAAAAACTGCATAACAGTTTTAATGCTTTGATTCTCGTGCATTTTTGAACTCCATACGAATATCTTGCCTGAGAACTGGTGCATAAATCAACTGAGAGGCCGCATATTTGTCTTCTGTAAAATAAATAAATCTGAATGGAATCACTTCAAAAACATACAACCAAACAGAGTTGTTCTTGCACATGGTATTGTCAAAAATAATGGCGGGATGTTGAATTTATTGAGGAGATGCTAAACACCAGTATGAAAACTTATTTGCATGATAGTCTTAAAATGTTTAATACTGAATACTGTAAAATACTTTATTTCCGCTTGGAATTTATTTTCACTATTTTCGCTGAAGGGATGATACAGTTAAAATAAAATCCGGCGAATATACTTTTTTTCTATATTTTACATTCAAAAATTCGTTTATCAAAAATCAGTGAAAATAAATTCCATACAAAACACCCAAAAAGTCTTTTCAGCAAAAATTAATTCCAGTTAAAATAAAGTATTTTACAGTATAAGCTAAATGTTTTGTTCTTATTTTTCAATTGGTGAGATCTATAGCCTTCCCTGGCACTTTAAGAACACAGATTTTTACTTGATTTATATAGCCAGTATGTTCCTATAGCAACGTACAAGTCATAATACAGAAGATTACAGATATTGGACAGCAAGGTTTAAACTGATTTTGGGGGATTCAAATTAGACATTTTTATTGGTAATTTTATTTTTTTCATACATTGATTTGATTACTGTAAAAGGATTAATTATTCACTGGGTTTTAATTTTGTTTATTTTGATGACTGAAAAATGCGCTATTAAAATTAAAACCCAGTGAATATGTCAAATTTAGCATAGAACACATTACCTAAATGATAAAACCGTGAATTTAAAACCCACTGAATATGCCTGGAATGGTAAATCAGCAAAATATAAACACCCAGTGAAAATTAGTCATTTTACAGTATTTATTAACTTATATTCAAAGTTTCATTTAAATCAGACATTCCATTTTTCACTGAAGATTTCTGAAAGTCAACAATGCGTTGATACTGTTGGCAGCAGCTGATAGCCGACCGTGTATTCTGAATGAAATGAAATGAGTGAAATCCCTGTGATTAGGCATCCTACATGTAGCATGTATTTTTCTGTCCGAAAATTAAAAGTTCAGGTTTATAATCGTTTTTGTGTGTGTCAGTTTCAAACCTGTGCTTCACAAATTTTTTTCTGCAATTTCAAGTAAATGTACTGGTGAAGTGTGCCCCATACGGTAGAATGTTTGTTTTTTTGTTTGAGAGGATGTTTTGTTCATCTAAATCAAACTTTAACCTTTTCACCACCAGCTCCCATCACACATTCACAAAATTTCCTTTTATAGTCTGCACTTTCCTTCAGATGATTGGGACAAAAATAGCCAAATTTTTTGAGTAAAAAGTGAAAATTGACGCAAATGTTGTCTGTTGGCTCTAAAATTAAGGTTCAATTCCATAAATATTGAAAATGTACGAAAAAAGTGCAGAAAAAATTGGGCAAGAAAGTCTGGTGGTGAAAAGGTTAGGGCATGTATTGGAAAACATTATATAAATGTTAAACAAATATCTAGTTATATATTAGGTACATAAAAAATCAAAAAAAAATCAACCGCATGAGAGCATCTTTTTCAATTTTCTCTGGAACATAAACCCAAACATACTTTTCTTAATCTTACCTGGATGAGTAGAACGTGTTGGTGTGACTTGTCTCTTAGAAAGCATATCTCTAAGTTGAGCCTGCCGTTTCGCAGACACTAAAATCAATAAGATATTTAAATCAATACAGTGTAACAAAGTCCCTTCAATAGATAAAATTTAACTGTCAATGGAAAATCAATCGATCGATAGTTTCAAAGAAGCTATTCTTCAATAGTACTGATTGGATGGTTCCAGGTGCAAAGTATGCAAGCCATTGAGGCACTAAAGATGATGAGATTGAGGATATTTCAATACATACCAGGTGTTGTTTGTGACCTTGGTGGTGATTTAATACTAATACTTGTATCTCTTAAACTGTCAGCTAACGATGACAACTCTGATTCTCTGTGGAAAAAAAACAGACAACAATGAGATTATTCACGATACTGCACTGCACATCGCAATTCAATGCAGCACTGTCATGTGCAATGCAATTTAGCACAGCAGTGCACAGACATGTACAACATAATGCAACACAGCACAGCACAGCACAACCATTCACAACGCAGTACAGCCATGTGCAACACAATAAACACATCACAGCACAGCCATGCGCAATGCAATGCATCATACCACAGTCATGTGTATCACAATAAACACATCACAGCACAGCCATGCGCAATGCAATGCATCATACCACAGTCATGTGCAACAAAGCATAATGCAGCACAGCACACAATGCACCACACTACTGTCAAATGCCAAATAAAATACAACACAGATGGCCCCTTTAAAACTATGCCATCAGATATTTATACATTCAGTCATACAGCTCCATACAAAATGTGAAAATTCACATTTTATCCTTCGGCAATGGTTTTTATGGTGACAAGATTTCTTCACATCTAGAAATTTGTGCGGTGACAATAGCAGATGTAGTCAACCATTGTTACTTATAAGAAACCTAATTTTTCCAATGTAATACTGAAAAACACTTTATTTTCGCTTGGAAATAATTTTCGCTGAAGGAATGATTGAAAATAAAATCCTGCAAATATACCTTTTAACTTGAATTTTGCATTCAACTTGCCAAAAATCAGTGAAAAGAAATTCCATACAAAACACCCAAAAAGTCTTTTCAGTGAAAATTAATTCCAGCTAAAATAAAGTATCTTACAGTAATCAAATAATACTGCATTTAATAACTGCATTTGTTCCACAACTAACATATACGCAGACATAACTGATCTTAATCCATGGTGCAACTATATTCCAACGATCAAGTATACAATAAATACAATTGATGGTTTATATGAGCTCACAAAATTTATTTTAGCTGGAATTAATTTTCGCTTTTTTATATTCGCTGGATTTTATTTTCACTGAATTTTTCCTTCAGCGAAAATAGTGAAAATTAATTCGAAGTGAAAATAAAGTATTTTACATTAATGTAATAGTGTTCAATGAGAATTCATTCCCATGATGCAGGCTACAAATTCAACTTGAGTGATCAGAGCAGACTCTAACTAACCTCTGGGTTGCACTGCCGTTCCATTTTGACGTTGTGTTGTAGATTTTAATCCTTTGCAGTTGTTCTTTAAGCTCCTTCAGGCATCGAGTTTGATCTAATATTAAATTGTGATTGTTACTTACAGCACGGAAGATGTAGTCGGTAGTCGGTGTCTGTAACCTGTTAGCAGACAAAAATGAATAATTTGAATCAAATATCACCTGCGATATCAAGATGTTTATTGAGCAGATTTGGATTGAAGTAACACTATGGCAGTAATCCCCTGTGTCTGCTGCATCAAATTTAATTCATATTTCAGTGTTTATCAAACGCATATTCCTATCTATACAGGTGACCGATAGTAGTATGGCGAAAAAAAAGAAAATGGCTACCAGTCGGCCATCTTTCATCTGATTCATGAGACATATTAATGAAATTGCTACACAAGTCTCAGGAATATACATGTAGTAGTTTGGCTAAAAAGGAAGAAGACTACCACACAACAATATTGCAAAACGAAACAACAATATCAAATATTTGATTAAAATCTCCTAATGAGGTGGGGTACAGATATGCTATGTAATACCACAAAATTATGGCATGACATCACCAATGGCGATACGATGACAGATGTATAATAACACGTACCTTCTGCAACCATGTAATTTATCTTGATTGATTTTCCATTGTTCGTCTAATACAACATTGACATCGTGTATACTATTCTCTATATAGTGATACAATCCACGAATCTCCTTAAGTTTATTACTGCTTGTCGAGTCCAGTGATCGTGATCTCAACATCTGACGGTAGTGAGGATCACTGTGGCGTAAACTTCGTACTTTGCCCTCCTCTATCTGGGCAGCGGCATTCAGAGTCAGGCTTTTCAGTTCGTTGATGTCATCATTCTGGGACTAGCGATTTTTAATAAAATAAGCAAATAATGAAAATCTATAAATTTCCAGCAAATATTGGAACTATATCACAAGATGTAGCAAGTATTTGTAAAGTTAATGAGCACAGAGAAATCAAGAGAGAGCAAGCTCAAGAACAGCATTTATAAAAAAAAAAAAAAAAATGGCCACCTGTCGGCCATTTTTAATCCGATTAGGAAAATAAAAGTGATGTACATCTTGGTCAAATGCTGTTCAGTCATTTTCCAAGATGAAACGAAATATTTCCATGCAATGCCAGGGATCCAGGTTACTCCTGAATTGAATCATCAAACAAATGTAGCTCCATATACATGTATATCCCCCCAAGATGTTTTAGGTATTTGTGAACCCCCACCCCCCAAAAAAAAAGATTTAAATTTTGTTTCTTACCTTGGGGAAATAAAAATAACGCATTGACACAGTTTTAATTTTTTTATGAAGATTATTCAATACCAGAATAACAAAATTATAAATTCAACATTTAACATTTTTTAAATACTACTTTTAAATACAAAAATTCAAGGTTGATTTGGATCAACAAAAATCTGAAACATTTCCACTATGTACAGCAAACGAACCGGTATGCAAAATTAAAAATGAATGAGGCGCAGCGTTGAACTGATTCACGAGAAGACAAAAACATTTTGGGGGCTGTGCACAGAATCTTTTAGTATAGAACAGTTACGAAAGTAGCAAGCAAATATGACAAATGTCGCTGAATAATCATTGTTTACACAAAAACAAACAGAAATGTTTATGGCTTAACCTTTTCACCACCAGACTTTCATACTCAAACTATTTTACACCTTTTTTCTTATATTTTTCGATATTTCTGAAATGAATCCTTATTTTAGAGCCGAAAAACACAATTTTCAGTTTTTACTCCAAAAATTTGGTTATTTTTGTTCTAATCTTCTGAAGGAAAATGCAGACTATTACACTTACAGGACTATTTTGTGAATTTGTGATGAAAAGAGGGAACTGGTGGTAAAAAGGTTAAAAGCAATCAGAATTACTGGCTGAGGTAAACCATCTTATACACAAACATGTCATGTTTCTATGCAATATTGGGTTGCATGATGGTATAGCTAGTAAATCGTATCACGCCATATCTCGTTTATTAACTAACCTGAACACAGTCAGTAATTTCAGCATGAAAGTCCGCCAGATCTTCTTTCCCTCTCAGTAGCTCTCTCTTCTCCTGTTCTGTGCCCAGGCAAGAAATGTCAATTTTTTTCCTTTTTAGTTCATCCAGTTCTCTCTGAAACCTCAGCATCTACGATTACGAAATAGACAACATGTTCAATTTCAGAGCAACTCAAATATGTAACTGTATTTTTTTAATATCAATGTCACACAACAAAAAGACAAATACAAGAACAAAGAACAACAATGAAATAAAAAGAAAATGATTTTTGTTTCACCTCATCTCCAATAATAGCAGCGATACCTGAAACAGCTGCTGGAACAGCAGGAGTTGGCAAAGCTGATGAGGCTGTTGATTTTACTGGAGCTGCTTGTGGTGCTGTGGTAGTTGCAATCGGCAGTACTGAGTTGGGTTTAGTGCTAATAACTGCAAAATGAAAATAAAGAAACATTGTCAGGGTCATGCATACTTTATAGCCGGGTCGTTTTATACTATATTTTACCATTATTATAATTTGATTTAATATTTAGCAGTTAAAACTTTTACATTAATAGAAACAAGTCATTGTCAATGACGTAGTCCCCATTTGAATTATAGACGCAAGAAGTCTGAACTTGATTGGTCCAGGCATGTACGAAATATGGCTTTGTGGAACTGCGTTCATTTAAACAAAATGGCCGCCAGTCAGCCATTTCGGATTTGATGGTGAAAAAAGCAGCCTCTCGGCTGAGATAGCTTCGCTGTTAGCAATGCACATTTCATTTAAAGAACAGAAGATATCATTAGAAAATGAACAATATGCATAGTATCAATGCAATGGGACTTGCTGTTTTCAACAAGAATTCAAAAATATCATTTTTCACCATAAATGATTGTGGTTTTTAACAAGAAGAAAATATCACTTTTTACCAAAAATGACAAAAATATTCACCAAAATTAGAGAATTAAAGATATCATTACAAAATGAACAAATCTGAGAAAGGTCCACATGTAGTACCTATACATGTACCGGGTATATGTAATGTTAATTTAAAGCAATTGGATTTGCGGTTTTTAACAAGAAGTTGAAAATATCATTTTTAACCAAAAATGACAAAAATATTCACCCAAATTAGAGAATTGAAGATATCATTACAAAATGAACCAATCTGAGAGAGGTCCACATGTAGTACCTATATATGTAATATCAAAGCAATTGGCCTTGCGGTTTTTAACAAGAAGTTGAAAATATCACTTTTTACCAAAAATGACAAAAATATTCACCAAAATTAGAGAATTAAAGATATCATTACAAAATGAACAAATCTGAGAGAGGTCCACATGTAGTACCTATCTATGTAATATCAAAGCAATTGGACTTGCGGTTTTTAACAAGAAGTCGAAAATATCACTTTTTACCAAAAATGACAAAAATATTCACCAAAATTAGAGAATTGAAGATATGATCATGAAATGAACAAATCTGAGAGCGGCCTACCCAAGGTACATATACACGAAGTATCAAAGCATTCAGGCTTGTAGTTTTCAAGAAGAAGTCGAAAAAGTAAAACATTGACACGGACGCCGGATGCCGACGGACAATCACTCATATGATAAGCTCCGCTCGACAAAGTCGACAGCGGAGCTAAAAATTTGATGACAAGGAAGAATGAAAGACTATTGGGCAAAAACAAGGTTTCTGGCTCTTGTTCTGAATGACTTCTGGGTGGTCATTTTCATCAAATTGTTTGGACTTATAAAATCAGAAAAGTGAGTTGTTCAGAAAAACTTCAGACTAACCTTCAGGAGGCTGGTTTCCGAACGTCGTAGGCCTGGATGTTACAGTCGTTGACAATGTAGCAATGGGCCCTGTGGTGACACTAGCAGCAGTCGTCGGTAACACTGTGGGCTTTGTACTGGCTGTTGTTGCAGTCCCGAACAACAAAGGTTTGCTTGCTGTTGTCGCAGTCGTAGTGGTTGCAATAGGTTTGGTTGAGGCACTGGTTGCAGTTCCAAACACTGCTGGCTTCATACCTGCAACTGATGCTCCAAACGCTGACGGAGGCGGTGCTCCAGCTGGCTGAGTTGGTAGAGTAGCACCACCAAATATGCCTGTCATAGGTTTGGAAGGTAATGTTGTCCCAACTGATGTTGCTGTTTTAGCTGCAGATGTGGCTGCAGTGGCTGTAGTGAGAAATCAATAAACTAGAGTGACCCTTTAATGCCTGATTTATTTAATTTTTTAATGCGCCAACAGGTAGGTATTTCCCCTTTAGAAACACATTAAAATCCCAATGTATATCCTAATGGCATTATTATAATTTAATGCACTATCACAGTTGCAACCAAATCTGGTCAAACAAGCACCTGCACCCCTTAACCAAGGTCATCTCTGTTAGTGAATGGATCCTCTATTCTGTGGTTTTTAAATTAAAAAATTGCAATTTACCCTCGTCAGCACATTTTTACGTATTTTTTTCATTATTTCGGAATTAATTTTACACATAAAAGAACAGAATGAATTCAATGAAGGTAATCTTCTATTTTTATATTAATTTCAAAATCACAGACATACAAGTTACACACAACAGTGCTGAGACTAATTGCAAAAAATCTTTTCACTTTAGACCTTTTTTTTTTAATATTATTTACACATCATCAAATAGAATCGACTTAATTCTAATTGGTACATAAAATTATATCATGTATATGCTTTAATTTGGAAAAATAATTCTCCAATACGTTGCAGGAAAAAAAAATTATTGTTATGTTGTCAGCCATAATTTTATTTTCCTGCCTAATTGTCAAAAGTTTGGCCATCTTCTTTTGTCTGCCAAAAAATTGGCCAAACATTTAGCAAATTTTAGATTTTTGTTAATGTATGTTCTACACGTATACAAATAATGACTTTTTTTCAAAATATCAAATGATTTTAATAAATAATAGAAACATGATGTAATGTATTGTTTCATCACTTATATTCATAACTTGTGAGTTCAATGAAGTACAAACATAGTGACATGGACGTGCATTTTTACCTGCAGGCTGCTGATGCTGCTGATGCTGCTGCTGCGGTGTCAATGTCGATGTTGCAGCTGATTGGTCTTTCACCAGAGAGCCAAAGATGCCGGTGCTTGCTGAAGCTCCTGGCGCTACTGAGAATGCTGAATTCCCGGTGCTACCTGGAACAATGAACCCCAATCCTGATGTTAATGCACCAGTTCCAGACTGTGCAAAAGAGAACGCCTGTGCAACTGTTGTCGGTGTTGTTGTCGTAAGAGCATTTGAATCAGATTTCACTCCGAATGCAGTTCCACCGGGTGATGTGAAAAAACTACTGGTCTGAGTTTGGGAACCGAAAGTAAATGAAGATGCACTGCTGACAGTTTTCGCCGCTCCTTGCTCAGCTCCAGTCGCTGCTTGCCCGAATATATTTGGAGTAAACAAGGAAGGTGTAGCTCCACTTGAGGAAGTTGCAGCAGTTGTTATGGCTGATGGTTTGGCCAGTTGCGACTGTGAGAATAAACCTGTACTACTGAAGAGAGTTGGTGCACCATTTGACGAATTAGTTGTTGGTGCAGCAATTGGCGTGGTCGTTTGCGGCTGTCCAAACGAAGGTGTAGTTCCAAACAATGAAGAAGCAGCACCACTAGTTGTAGTCGCAGCAGTTGTTACAACAGAAGGTTTGATCGTTGGTGGTTGTTCGGATGTAGGTGTACCACCAAAGAGAGTAGGTTTGGTTGTTTGTGGTTGTTCGGATGTAGGTGTACCACCAAAGAGAGTAGGTTTGGTCGTTTGTGGTTGTTCGGATGTAGGTGTACCACCAAAGAGAGTAGGTTTGGTCGTTTGTGAAAGAGAAAATGTAAAAGCTGAGGTGGCAGCAGTACCAGAAGTCGTAGATGTAGTACTTGTTAGCTTTGGTGTAAAACTAAACCCGGTTGTTGCTGGTGCGGTAGTAGTAGGCATAGATTCAACTTTTGGTGTGGTTTCATTTTCAAATCTGAAAAAAAAAATACAATCATATTCAAAAACACTGTATTTTGAACTTTTGTGAAATATCTAGCACTACAACCCCTGTGATCCATCCGAAACTGAATAAGCTGGCTCAAATATATACCTAAACTGAGATAACACGACTATGAGCACTGTTCATAGTGATTGCGGGTGTATGATAAATTAATCAAAACATTATCTCGCCCCAAATATGCTAATTTTCCCTAGAAAGTTCTTATATCCACTTGTAACCTCTGAATAGTGTGTGTGTTCATGCAAATGAGATGCTAATATATGCAAATGAGATGCTAACATATGCAAATAATATTCAAATGATATTTTGGAAATAATACAATGAGTAATGCTTTTAATTACAAGAGGAACAAGATAGATAATATTTGATTGTATGAATGTTTTTTTAGTAATCCTAGCTCTGTTATATATAATCTAAATTTCACATTTTTGGTTTTCAGTACCAACCTGCTCAGGAGGTTTCCACGTGGTGTGTGAAATAAAGCTGACTGATTCGCTGTCGTGTCTGTTGTGGACGTAGTCTGCTGTGATGCAGGGACGACTGGTTGCGTGACTTTAGGCATTCCTGATAAAGAAAGCGAAAATTGTTACTGTGAAATTATTTACTTTAGCTGGAATTAATTCCTCATTTTTGTGAAGCTCATTTTTACTAATTTTTTGATGAGAACAATTGAATGCCATATATGGAGAATTATACTTAACATATGAAATGACCATATAAGGTAATGTTGTTGGAAGGTACAATCGAATGCCATAAACAGTCAAACCTCGATTATTCAAACACAGTGGGCGGTGACGTATTTGTTGGCCTAATCTGCACTGGCTCGGAAGGTTGTAAATGATTAGCTAGTTTGAATTTGCATAACAATACTGACAATGAACGTGCATTCAACGCCACAAGTTTTTTTGTTTTTTTAGCCAATCAGAATTCATCTTCCGAGCCAGTGCAGATCAGCCGTATTTGTTCGGTTAATTGATCGTTCGGATAAACGATCCGAACGTAAAATTAACATAAAATGAAGGACAATGGATGGTACGTTGATTTCATGTTTTATTGATACATGTACATTACATTTAATTAATGTGTATTACAATTCTACATTGTAAATATTAATAAAAAATCGTTGTTATCGAAAATGTTTGTTAATTATTACGTTAGTAAGATAAATAAATAGTATGTGTCCCTGAAGAAAATGTAACTTTTGTCAAGATTGTTTCAGTTTCAGTCCATGCATAATGTTCATAAATGTTACCCAAAGAAATGATCCAGGCGCTTTTGTTTCACTATCTGTTGTTTTTTTGATTTTGCAAATGAAAGCATTTGTCGTAACTGCATACCCGGTAAGTTTCACTGCATCGATGTCTTCTTGACCTTCATACCAGTCAATAAAAAGTTGCATTCCGTTGATTGCCTCGGTCACTGGAACTGCCGGTGTTTTTCATAATTGCGATGATTCCTTGATCAAGCGGTTGTAGCTCTGAAGTTGTATTTGGCGGTAAAAAAGAACACTTGATGTTACCATCCAGTGATTCTAATTGGCTGCCCTTCAAACTGTATGAACCAGCATTGTCAACTATCAGTAGCGCGCACTGTGGGAGTCCTATCCTGGCTAAGTGTGAACGCACCGCTGGCACAAATTCGTTGGCAAAAACCACGATGAAAATAGATGATAAGTCATCCAAGCCTTATGTTGTGATTTATATTTCACTGGAAATGAATTCTTGTCACAGTTTTTAAAACAGCGTGGATTAGCATAACGCCCGATGTAAACAAGTGGCAATTTGTGAGTCCCGGTAGCATTGACGCATGGACAAAATTGTGATTTGGTCCTTTAGAACTTTGTGGCCAGCGCCCTGTTTTTCTTCGTGTGCTGCTAATGTTTTGTCTGGTAAAGCACGCCAAAACAAACCACTCTCATCGGCGTTGTACAATTGTTCGAGTTCATAATTTCCTTCTTGTATTATGACCTGCAGTTTCTGACGATATTCTTTGACAACACCGTCATCTACCGACATCGTTTCACCCTGGACGATGAGTTGTTTAATGCCATGCCGATCTTTGAATTGTTGCAACCATCCACTTGATACAGTGTGATCTGACGGGGGTAGCGTTTCATTGGCATGGATTCGCTCGTGCAAACTTGCAGCCTTTTCTTGTAACATCGGGCCAGAGATCAGAATTCCTTTCTCACGCTGTTGTGAAAACCACAAAAACACAGCTTGATCGAGTTGTTCGTCTCTTGCTGGTTTCATAGACTTTCTTTTTAGAGCACCCACTGTATCACTGTGGCTTATAAATTTGTCAATCATTGGCTGTGCTTTTTTAATGTCCGAAACAGTTGCTCGTCCCATGTTGTATTCTTGTACCAGCTTTGCTGCTTTCTCTCCTTTAGCAAGTCATTGTAAAATCTCCTTCTTCTGCTCGATGGTTAGTGGTGTACGTTTTCTCTTCATAGATGACATGGTAAAATAGCGTAGGGATAAGTGTAGATCGTACTCGTGACAAAGTCGTTGCGTGAATGATTATATTACAGAAAATGTTCTCGTTTTAAATCATTGTGCACGTCAATCATTTTTACCTGTGAATTATTTTATTCATGCTGAGCAAAGGAACGACTGTGATCAAACAACAGTCCGACACGGACGTGCTAAACACGCGATGATGCAGTGTGTGTCGGTAACACCACTTTCATCATGGTAAACAAAAGTTGTAACATAGCAAGTCCGTCAAAACAAAGAGGTGACAAGAACCCCATTCTTCAAATCTTTTGTTAACAAACAATGGAGATAAAAAATGCAGTCCTGTTCCGTAAATAAAATACACTTTTACACTTGGGACTTTGGAAACATGTTCGGATAATCTGTAATTCGGATAATCGGTATTCAGATAATCAAGGTTTGACTGTATAGACAATGATACTTAAAATATTGACCATATATGGTAATGTTGATGGAAAGAACAATCAAATGCTATATATGGTATATAGTTTATAGTATATGGAATATTATACAACCATACATTGATTTTCATTTACCCCATTGAGCGCCATAAGTTTTTACGCCAACATTTGAAAAACTGATTTTGTGTATGCTAATGAAAGTTGATGTAAGGGATCCCTCCATTCTTAGATATGCAGTGTTTGTTTCGCATGGCTCTCTCGTTTTCAACAATACCTTGGTGATAATTTGCAAATAAGCTAATTTAAAAGGTCTATTGATAGTAAATTTGCTACTAACAGTAATTTTAGTCTAAAAAAATTAACAATTACTATAAAGGCATACGAAATTAAATTGTTTCAATGGAAATTTGGGAATTCAAAAACCAGTGAATTATGCTCAAAATTAGGTCAAAATTGTGAAATTAATGGAAGTAAAAAATAATGCTTCTGCAATACAGGTTGAATAAAAAGCATGACATTACTTACCACTGGGGAGTCTCTCTCCCGCATAGGTTAACACTTCTGGTGGATTAACTATTGACTGGATATCTTTACTCCTATTGATCACATAATATGGACAAAGTAGGCCCTCTGTGGTGAGCACCAAGAAGATTGGTGCAGGTGGCAAAGTCAGACTGTCATCTGGAGAAGATGGATTTAAACAAACACTGGGATGTTATTTTCTTTTGTCTATTGACAGGCACACGGTGACATCATATGTTTACGTTTGTTCATACACAATCCCTCTATCCTCGGTCTGGAAAAGGTCATTGTATTAGGTGTGAATTGGCCTCCTTCCCTGGCAAAGGCGCGTTGTGGGTATAGGCAAAGCATTGTCACATGATCAACACACAGTCGGTCACTATTTTTGACATCGTCAGTGTTATGTATTTTTTTTTCAACTTAGTTGTTTATTCCAGAATTCAAGTTTTTTGACATAATTTTGTAACCAGGATATATGTATAAGATCAAATTTTAGATGGCGAGTAGTTCTTTAATTCATCTAATTTACTAGCAGCGACGCATTTTCGCAACAAATTTTCATACCTTTATACCCAGAAATTGTTCATGTTTTGGGGTGATTGAAATGAACTCTATTTTATTTACCCTACTTCTCGGCACAAAACCAATATTTGTCTTCGATTTTGACATTTTATAGTCGAAACATATCATTAAAATTTGGTGGGCTGATTTGTTGTGTCACACCACATTTTATTTACATTAAATTGGGCGATTTTTATGCATGCTTTTTCAATCGTAAATGCAAATGGCAAATTTTGAAATGACTAAAAACATCATTTATATACAAAAATTTAAGCATTGTTTTATATTTTGCATCGAATAAAGTCATTAGTTGTTGTATAGTTGACCTGAACTGTTATGAACCCCCAAGAATCAGAAATATCACAGGTTTTTCGATCGGCTACGTTAACATGAACGACGCCAGCATTTTGATACCGGTATGCAAAGTTTTTTCCCTATTAAAACTAGAAAATGAACATAATTCCCGATATTAATCTTTACATGTCAGGAACTGGATGTTTATGAGGTGATAGGCTGGTTTTAACACATATCATGGTTCAAAAACCACAAATTTCATACTGCTAATTTAGTTTACATGTTTTTTTTTTAGTTGTGATTGTCCGAATTTGAAATCATACAATGAGGTATCGCTTTGCATGACGGTAAATTTGCCGATTTTAATGAATATTCTTACGATATTGTAATCTGTCTGACTTCCTGAATCCCTCAGCCCGGGAGTGAATGGTTTGTTCACCCGCAATGTGGTTCGAGACAAAAGAAAGCTAGTCGTTTCCAGACCGGGGATAGAGCGACTGAGGTTCATAGCAGCAATGTGAATTATTCTGAACCTCAAACACTGATGATTTACTGCCTGGATTCTCGTATAACAATTTCCAATTAGATGGGGAGCAACAAGCACTTTACAGAAAAATGGTTGGACAGACGATATAATGAAATACCATGTACTCACTGATTACTAATTCTTGCTGTGAAGTTAAATCCAATGCCAGTCCCATAGGATATGTATCTTCATTGTTAGCTAGAGGCATCTCTATTCTCGCTGCATCTTCAAGACTCCATCTTTCCCACTCCGGCTCTACATCTTGTTTTCCCATCACCACTACCTCTAAAGCATTACCCTGTGCCGTCAAGACTAGGTTCCTAAAACATAAGTAGACATGAAATGATCTTGATTAAATCTAAATTGTATTTTTCTCAGAAACGTATCTCAGTCGGTACCTTGCTGAAATTACTGTACTATTCTCCTGATTCACAAATGAGAGATTCTGTGCCTAATGCGTGAAATGGAGTTTAAGTTACAAGGAATATGAAGATTTTAATCAGATAAGTACAACTACAGCAGTTCTTAAAATTATTTAGATAGTCAGATTGATTGGACAACACTTTGGCGTTTGCGTTATACTTGATAGCACAACTGTTTGAGAATTTGTCTGAATAATGTTCTGACACAGGTTCATAAAGATTTGTTCTTGTTCAAAATTACTGTGGCTTGAGTGACCCTCAGATATTTATTGTAAATTTACATAATTATATGTACTGGGCCTGAGACTTTATATCTATGACAGAAATTATCTATTATATTACTGTTAAAAAACTTTATTTTAGCTGTAATTAATTTTCGCTGAAAAGGCTTTTTGGGCATTTTGTATGGAGTTTATTTTCCCTGATTTTTGACGAGTTAAACATAAAATACTTTATTTTTAAAGTGATGTGATTGCAGTGGTTTTTTTTTTTAACCAGACGACTGATATACAGAAAAACAACACATGCAAACACATACAAGATAAAACTTATTGGCAATTAACCAGTTCCCTATTTTCATCACAAAATAGTCCCATTTATAGTCTGCACTTTCCTTCCGAAGATTGTGACAAAAACAGCCAAATTATTTTGAGAAAAACTTAATATTGACTCAAATTTTGTGCTGGCTCCAACATATTGAAGAATATAAAAAAAAAGTGCAGAAAAAAAATGGGCGAGAAAGACTGGTGGACAAAAGGTTACTTGAGCATAAGCCCCTCTCCGAGTATAATCCAGCCCTCTGTTTTTAGACATTTAACGAGTTAAAGGCATTCCCGAGTATAGGCCCAGGGTGTTTTTCTGAGCGTCGATGACATTTTATATTAAAATATGCATGTAAAAAGTGTATTTCATTGCATAATAATCATGATTGGTACGGTAGTTTGGTTCCTGCTTTTACAAGATTAATTTCAGAGTGCATGGCGGGCAAACGTACAGAACATGGTTTGCACTTTGTCTATTGTGTTATTTACTCAGGATGAACCCCGATGTTTCTTTTGAGTAGTAGTTTTCAAAACGCCAAAAATGAAACCTGGTCATTGAACATCGTTTTACTTTTAAGAACAATCGTGACCATTGAGTCTATCGTGAATCGGGTGTGAACGAGCAAACGATTCTTCGACATGACTAATTAGCGACCATGAAAAGTTTAAATATTTCCTCAACCCTCAGTTTTTAGGGAAATAAAATCAATGTTTTTTTTGTCGACATCAGTGTTAACAGAATGCATTTTAACATCGTGGTAACTTCTTCAATAATCGGAAAACTTAGTCTGTACGACTCACTCAGCATTTTGATTGGTTAACCAAAGACGTGACTGTTAGGTCAAAGCAAGTTGTTCAGGTCAAATCAAGATTAAAAAAACTATGGCGGTAATTACTTTGTATTGAGAGTTTGCATACACTCGAAAACATTCCACAAGAATGATAATGATAAAGATCTTGCCTTCGACTGTTTTCCCACATACCTTACCCATTTTTGCATCGTAAATTCAGACAGTATGTAAACCATATTGTAATAAAACGTGTGTATTTTTATGAACATGTTTGTTGCTTCATTAATTAAAAGTGTTGTGGAAATCATGACTCGTTTTGCATTTTTTTCCTCAAAAAGACGTAATATTTCTCCGAGACCGGCGCTGTTAAGTAGAAAAATGGTTACAATTTTAAACCCCCCAAAAAATTATCTTTTCTGAGGTGGTCCTTGAGTAAAAGCCTACCCCCCCATTTTACAGTATTTAAAGTATGTGGTCAAAGGCTAGCAGCCATTAAAGATTTTTCAGTTCAGTTGTAAATAACATGTAGTCCCTTTATCATTTTTAAATAAGAAACAAAGCTAATAGAGTAAATATTTGAGGCCGTAACATTGAAGGCAATATTTAACAAACATAAAATGTGGAATTTGTAGTGGGATGTTCAAGTTTGAATCAAATGTATATCCCAAAATAGAAATTGTTGATGACATGTTGAAATTTGGATGAAAATGGCCACCACAAACTGGCATGCCATGGTAAAGCATTATGTCTTGCTTTAGTACCAATATAAAATCAAATTTAGGCATGCCAGTTAAATAAGATAGACAGCCACACAGATTGATGAATGAAACCCCAAAGTTTCTGTTTCAGACTACGAATAACCGGTACTAAAAATTAGCTTACCATTCTGGGATGTTAAGGAAATAATAAACCTGGTTTCTGTCCTCTCCTGATCCGTAACACACATCTTCTAAATTTGTGTACACAACAGCCCCAGTTTTCTGTGAAAAATTGATAAACATAACTAAAGTATATAAAACTTGTCTCTCATGCTTACAGTATTTTACAAGAGTTGCGCAAACTTTACATATAACAACATTAGTTCTTTTCCTTTCCTTTTTCCTGACTTTCTTTCCAAAATATTACATTATTGAGTTTGATTATGCTTACAATATTGTTATTTTTGAGTAGCGTTATACTTTCAAGTTGTATTCCTTGCCAAATTTTGTTTGAAGCCTTTTGCATGACAATAATTTAACAGTTATGATATTCTCC